ATTCTTTTCAAAGTGGTTCCAACTTATGGCAACTTAGTTTATAGTAGAGTGAATTATAATTGTTGGCACAACTGTGTCTATATTTATTGCTGTCATCTTACCTAACTTGTTAAGGGCTATCTTTTTTTGTTTGGTTGGGTTTTTTTTGCTGACCCTCAATTCTACAAAACAGCATGTCTGTTTTTCACAATTGGTCTTTCCAAAGCAAGGTGAAGTTTGCCATCCTTGAAGTAAGGAATCTAATTGTATTTCTTCCAAGGCTGATTGCTAATTTCCCTTATAAATATTTCCAAATTTATTGTTTCATAAGGTAATTAATTCTTCCATTCTGCAAGCATTTATTGCACACTACTGCATGCTAAATATATGGTTCTAGGTTGTAGACACATGTATATGAATAAATCAGACCCAAACTCCTACTCCTCATTGAGGGACAGAGAAAGCCAATTTTTTTTTGCAACTTTTAATTTGTGCTTTGTATGTTTTAGACTTAGTATCTCATTGCTTTTTTAGGCAGCTCTTAGATTTTTAGTGAGCCTGACTATTGTTATTTTTCACCTATTAAAATTTACTTTATTCAAACATATTAAATGTCATAAATATCCTATATATGTTCCGCACTGTCGCTTGCTTCTGATGAGCTCTTATCGCCCCCATCCCCATCCCTTTATACTTTACTTCTAAGGCTGGTGACTGTCTTTCTACATGTTATTTCCTGGATACCCCTTTCTATCAATTCTAAATAGCCACTCACTTTTTTACTACATTTTAATTTTTGTAATTGTTTTTAACCTGAAAACAATATAGAACTATTTTAGTGTTTCATGTATTTACATACCATTTTAATCATACTCTTTTATACAGATGAGCTCTGAGCTATCTTCAAAAAATAAAACTTTATAAATTCAAAAGCATTTTATGTGCTCTCAGAGTTTTAAGTTTTCTTTGAAGTAGTACATTCTAAAATGATTTTGAATGTTAGAATTACAGATCTCAATATGTTCTTCTATTTTTGAATCACTCTTTGAAGTCATGTTTCATGTATTTGTACCCATCTCTCATAAGAGTGCTCACATTATTAAGCTGAACAATCTACATATCTGATTCTCGTACTTATCCTTTCAGGTACAAATCCATCTGTAATGAGATATGGCATGTCTTGCATCATAAATACTATATGTCCCATTTTGTATGATTAAAAAATTGACCTTTATTACATTAAAACATGATTTTGAATTATATGAATGAATTAACTAAAGTTAATTGGAAAATGTCCCTAGTCTGGTTACCCTTTCAACATATTTATTTTATTTCTATATTGGAAAAGTCATTAAAGTCACCAACAAATTCTTTTTTTCTATCTGCCATTGTTTTAATTTTTTCAATTTTTTAATTTTAATAAATAATTTATTGGGGTCAGGTACAATTCTTATGACAATCCATACATACATCCATGTGTCAAGCACATTTGTACATTTGTTGCCATCATAAATTTCAAAACATTCTCTTTCTACTTGAACTCTTGGCTCAAATATAAGCCCTCATGTATTCCCCTGCTTTCCCCACCCTCCCTCCTTCATGAACCCGTGATAATTGATAGATTTTTTTTTTCATGTCTTACACTGTCCGATGCCTCCCTTTACCCACTTTTCTGTTGTCCATCCCCCTGGGAGGGGGCTATAGGTAGATCATTGTGATCGGTCCTCCCTTTCTCCCCCCACCTTCCTGGTATGGCTACTCTCAGGGGTTTAATCTGTCCTGGATTCCCTTTGTTTCCAGCTTTTA